ACATGCCATGGGTTAGTTACCAACTACTCCCTGCTTGATCCTGGGCAAGTCAGTGATCTCTTTGCCTCAGTTTCCTCATCTATAAAATGGAGATTGGAATAGTAGTTACCTCCCATTGTTACCAGAATTGAGGGTTAACTCTTTTTGTATGAGCCTAGCACAAAGTTGGCACTGTGTAAAGCTTTGCTACTGTCACTGTTACTCTCTAGAGTCCACAACCACTGCCCCGAGATCCTTCCTAAGGTGTCCAGTGTTGCACACAGCAACACAGCACTTCTGCTTATATTCAACTGGCAGCTGGTCACATGCACTGACAAGTATCTCCCACCTGCCTCCAGGGAGCTCCTGGCCAGGGTCCTCAAAGCTTCTCCACAGCCTCTGGCCATTCACTCAGACCAGACCCTTCCTCTCTACCACCATTCAAAGCTGTCCAGAAATCCACTGTCCCTCACATCACCTTTCCCAAGTAGCTGAAAGGTGGTAATTACAGGGCCCCTCCTTCTCAGTGGGTGACCCCAGGACCCTGCCTCCACATTCAACCCACATAAGCATGGAACACATCACTGAATCACAAACTGCAGGCATGCTTCTACTGTGGATAGTTTGATCGGCTTGCAATCCACATAGGCTGTGCTGTCAGGCATAAAAAATGGCCACAGTGGGGGCAGGGGGTGCATATGCATCTGCACCTCATCCTTGGCCACTCTACGCCACTGGCAGGCATTCTGTATAGAGCTGACGGTGGCAGCAGTGGGGGCCGCAGGGTCTCCTAAACACTGACCTCTGAATCAGTTGGTACAGCTCCATCATTTGGTACCCTCCCTTCATTTTAACCCCAGGACAAAGGTCTACCTTAATCCCCGCTGCTGTCATCTAGTTGCCTCCCAGGGCCCATTTCCACAGTCTTTGAAGACATCAGCTTGTGGTTCTCATTGTTTTGGTAACTTCATCATCTATGTTGGTGAACCAAAAGACACACCATAACTATGTACCCCTTATTCTGTTTAGGTTGATATGTGGTCACTGGAAATAAAGACATTTCCCAGTCTCTCAGCCTCGGACAGGTATGGCCATGGGACTAACGGCCAGTTGAACATAGGCAGAAGTGCTGTGTGCAACTTTGAGACGTGTTTTTAAGAGAAGAAGTACATTCTTTTCTAACCTCCTTTCGTGCTGATGGAGTGTGACTTGATGGCTAGAGCCTGGCAGCCAGCCTATGGGATGAGGTGAAAGTCACTTACTGACCTCAAAACAAAAAGAGAGGCGTCTGGCCCCTGATACCATGCACTATCGCACCCGCCCCAAGCTGCCTGTGTCTGTGAGAGGACTCAACCCATCTTGTTTAAACCACTGCTATTTGTGTTCCAGGCAGTGACCGAATCCTTATTCTCACAGAGGGTAAGACTTTTCCCCAGGTCACACGGTAAGTAGCTGGCAGAGCCAGGATCTGAGTGCTGGCAGATTTACTCCAGAGCCCGTAGGCCATGAGGGAAGTGGGTCTGCCCCACCTCGAGGTCCTTACAGAGGAGACACAGCTCAAGGGACCATAGTCACACCGGCTGCAAGAAGCCAAAGAAGTGTGTGATGGAGGCGGAGGCGGGACCAAGAGGAACGCACAACTTGAGGGGCGTGGACAAGCTTCCCTGCATCCTCCCTTCCAACTGCAGTATGGGGAAGAAGTGCTGCTAGTTTAACCCAGCACTTGGGTTAAACTACACCTATGCTGGGCTTCACTCCAGGACTACCTTTTCACCCAGCGTACATGTATGTTGCCTCCCACCATTCCACACTATTATACTTCTATAGCTTTATACTATTTTAAGAGATCTGGTGTAATTTCAGATTTACATACCCTCTGACTCTAGAATCTCAGGAACAGAAACTCTTCAGGAGAGGTCCCATCTTCTCTTTTCACCACCTAAGTTTCTCTGCTTCAATCACCTGGTGAAGCATTGGCCTGGAGAGAGCAAGTTCTATTAATAGTAGATAGCTCAGGAACCCATCCACCCGCTTACAGAAACTTGGTATATGTCAGAAGAGTTCTACAGACCAGTGAGAAAGGAGAGACTGTTCAGTCAACAGTGCTGGGACAACTGGTTACAAACACAGAAAAACAAAATTAGGTCTCTACTAAATACAATCGTAAACAGACATTTCAGATGACTAAAAATCTTATTACGAATATAAACATTTAGAAAATCTTGAGCGTAGGGAAGGATCTCTTAAACAAGATTCAAAGGCATAAGTCATACAGGCAAAAGACTGACACATTTAACAACATTAACAGTTAAAAATTACTTCGGTCCAGCAAAACACTCCTAAAGGCAGGGAAGACAAGCAAGCCACAGTGTACCAGATATTTGCAATGCATATAATTGATCAAAGATTAGCATCCCTCCAGAATACATATTTAAGAGGCCTAAATATCCATAAAAAAAGACAAAAAAAAATCCAAGTGAAAAATGGGCAGAGGATAGGAACAAGTAACAGAGAAGGAACCTTGTACAGCCAATATACATATGAAAAGATACTCATAAAACCTAAAGGAAATGACACCCATCCAATCAGACAAGATGAAAAGTCTGATGATCCAAGTATTGTAGAGTTGGGGAACTCTCAGATTGCTGATAGGAGGATAAACAGACACCTGCTTAGAGGGTAAATGGGAATGTCCAGTCAATTAGGGGAATTTCAATACTTCCTCAAATCCACACAATGTGATAGGATGCTCACTGCAGCACAGCTATAATACGAAAACACTGCAAAACCCCTACATGTCCATCAATAACATATAAACAGTAGAATTCATACAATGGAACACCATACAACAGTTAACTGAACTGGGCTGGGCACGGTGGCTCACTTTTGTAATCCCAGCATTTTGGGAGGCCAAGGCAGGTGGATCACCTGAGATCAGGAGTTTGAGACCGGCCTGGCAAACATGGTGAAATCCTATCTCTACTAAAAATACAAAAATTAGCCAGGCGTGGTGGTGGGTGCCTGTAATTCCAGCTATTCAGGAGGCTGAGGCAGGAGAATCGCTTTAACCCAGGAGGCGGAGGTTGCGGTGAGCTGAGATCACACCATTGCACTCCAGCCTGGGCGACAGAGCGAGACTCCAATCTCAAAAAATAAATAAATAACTGAACTGGAGCTACATTTATACATGCCTCCAGAATGCAATATTTTTTAAAAGTATCAAATATGTACAGTATGATGCAATTTCCGTAAAGAAAACATACCAACATACAAAACAAACCCAGCCATGGATAGGAAGGACAGAAATGGACATCAGGACGGGGCAGAGGCAACAGGACTGGGGCCGCATACGAACGGGACTTCGGAATGTGGGTTTTATTTCTAAAGACAAATCTGCCACAAAGATGAAAAGATATTAGTTGGCTGGTGACATGAGGGAGATACAGGTATTTAAACACCAGTACTCTGCTCTTGTTCGGCATGTTTGAATGCTTTTTTTAAAACAATCTTCTCATTTTTCTTCTTTGCACTTGGGTTCTGGGCTCCCTCGTCTCCCAATTCTCTGGTGACCTCCAGGTGGCATCTCCTCAATGTCTTTGTTCTCTCCATGCTCTTCCCTTGTCTTCTCACATGTCCTTGTTTTCTCAGTCTTCACACTTCACCCTAACAATCACTGGGCCCCTTCATTTCATCCTCTCTGTCTACTTAAGGGCCCCCCACTTCTGCCTTTACCTCTAATGTGGTCTCCACCCAGCATCCCCTGGCCAGGCCTTTGAAAGAGCTCATCAAGCTTAATGATTCAAAACATACATCCAATCCCATCTTTGGAAACCCCACCCTAAAACTGTTCTTCTGAAGATAAACATTGCCGTAATTACCAAATTGATTGGGCTTTTCAGTTTTTCTTTCCCCTTAACCTCTTGGGAGTGGTCTCTGTCAGGGACCATCCCTGTCTGCTTTACCTGCTCCCTGCCGTGGCTTCCATGACTGCAACGTCCCCACTCCAGGGTCTCTGACCTGCACTACTAATCAGTGGGATTCTACCCGTCAGTGTTCGGCCTCCTCCGTCCTCCTTCTTAGTGCACCGTGTTTTCCTCTGCCCTTTCTCAAATAGCCGGAGGAGAAAGCAAGCTCCTGTCAAACTTCAAGATACACAATTCTCATTCCTCTTAATAAAGATGCATTGTCATGACACTCATGTTATTCCTAGAACAGGGAGATGGGGCTACCAGTTTGAACTCCAGGGGATACTTGCATCATCTCAGCTGTCTGTTATACCTAACACCTGCCTGATCTCGGCTCACTGCAGCTTCAGCCTCCCAGGCTCAGGTGATCCTTCCACCTCAGGCTCCAGAGTAGCTGGGACTACAGGCGCATGCCACCATTCTTGGCTAATGTTTAAAATTGTTTTCTACAGACTAAGTCTCACTGCGCTGCCCAGGCTGGTCTCAAACTCATGGGCTCAAGTGATCTTTCCATCTCAACCTCCCAAAGTATTGGGATTACAGGTGTGAGCCACTGCGTACAGGAAGAGGCACTTCTGAGATTCTCTTTGCAATTCATGATTGATGTATGGAGAAGGCAAAGCCAGCCCGTCCCCTCTCCCACCACAGTGCCCAGGGCCATAGCCAGAGAAGGAAAGGAGCGTGCGTTTCTGAGCTTGGGCCCTTACAGGCTTCTGCAGAGGGTGAACACCTGCAGAAAGAACCACTGGACATTTTGGCAACCACCTGGCAGTGTTTGTGCCATTGTGCACCACTGAGTCCAGGGCCCTGCTTGGCCCTGCTTGGCCCTGCAGCCTTACAGTCCAGGGCCGGCAGACGGCAGGCCTCCCCGCTCTCCTAATGCCTCTGCCTAGGAAACTTTCTAGTTAAAAGAAATGTGTGCAGACAGGCGAGATCATTAAAAGCCTCTCTCCTTCAAATGGTGCAAACTGCCTCCCTCTTCTAGCACAGGTTATCCCCGGGGTGCCTGAGATGCAGGGAGAGGGGTCAACATTCACAACGGACCAAGCTCCAACATTCCAACAGGACTCATCTATTTATTGGTATTACTATTAAGCCACTTCCCAGCAGTGTGACTGCCGTAACAAGAACAGGACTCAGCTTCTAAAAGCAGTAAAATAACAAGGACATCATGGACAAAGCACTGAGAACACTCCTCGTAAGGAACTGGCTTTTCTTTGCCTGCCAGAGCACCCAGGTGCCAGGGGCCACTCCCAAGCACGTGGTCCTGATCCTGAACAGAGGCACATCTTCACGCATCTTGGCCCTCGGGGACGTGCCGGATGCTCCTCTCCCCACCCTGACCTGACCTTCTCAGTTCATCTGGGTAAACCTGCTGTGCCTCCTGTCCGTGAAGTGAGGCGGAACCAGAGGGGGAACCAAAGTCTGGTGATGAAACAGCTGGTACCAAAGAGCTGGTTCTGCTTCGTCCTCACCAAGTAAACACATACGTTTTTAAATTTTTTTAAGGAAAGAAAAGTCTTAAAAATATATGGCACTAGAGTGTAAAACTATACAACTGCATCCAGTGAAAATTCCCTGCAGCTTGCGGCCTGTGGCGCACCGCGTCCCTCAGATGTACAGCTGATGGGAGGCCAGCGTGTCCATGAACGGCCGTACCACGTTGTCCGTGGAGAAGTAAAAGATGAGCCCGAACGTGATGGAGATGGGGAGCGCGGGCAGCGCCTTCTTGAACACAGCAAGCAGCAGGAGGGTCAGACACAAGCCCTGTGGGACATGGAGGGGAGAGTGAGGGTGGTGATCCCAGTGTGGACGGGAGTTGGGAGTCATGGTCTAGTCCCTGGGTGCAGGAGATTGTTCGTGGACCAGTCGGACAACGGTGCTAGACACCCCACCCCATTATCTTCCCTGGTCCTGCAACAGCTCTTGAGGTGTTGAGAGCAGAAGTTCTCATCCCCATCAGAGCTCCCACGTGTGAGCGAGTGAACCAGAAGGCAGGCCTCCTGACTTCCGGAGCAGTGCTATGCCTCCAGGCCGTGCTGCCTCCCCTGTCTGGCTGGAGTTGTCACACAGGATGGCAAGATGCCCTCAGAGAATGTGTATTTGTATGACAGCTAGGTAGGTTCAACTGAAATGCCAGTGAGGTTCTCAGCAGCTGACACCAAGGGAATCAGAGATGCCATGCAGCCTGCCCCTGGGAAGCAGGCGTGGGGATGCCCATCCTCCCCTGACCTGGCTGACGCGGGCAGTGGTCCAGGTAAGGACAGGGAACCAGGGTGCCTGCTCTACCTTTGGGGGCAGCAGGGCTCAGGTCAGGCAGACTGGTGGTGGAGGAGGATGGGTCCATCATCCCATCCCTGATACACTTATGGGCAGAAACAAAATCTGGACACCGAAGCATCACCCTTCACCATGCCATGCCCAGGGTTTTCACCAAGGGGCAGAATGCCAAGTGTACAGCTCAGACAATCCACCTCTAATGTGACAGGGAAATCTCTGAGATGAAGTTGTGGCAGGACATCTCCCCATCACGTGTATCTGGCCACATTAACTGACTACAGCGAACTCCACATTTCACTGCTGTGGTTCACAGTAATGGGGCACCCTGTGGTGTCTCGATGGCAGGGAGGAGGGGAAAACATGGTCCTCACTAGCTTTGTGCCCACGGGTAAGGCCCTTAAGCACTTTTCTGTAAACCTGATGTCATCACAACCACCTCAACGGTATCAACACTGCACAAAGCTGTCAGCTGGGTCCTTGGCTTGGAGGCTGTGTGCTCGACCACGCCAGGGCCAGCGCTCTCCTCACCCTCCCCTGCACTGTGACCTGCAGGATGGAGCCCACCTAAGGCAAGCACACCTCCTGTGAGCCTCAGTCTCAAGCCGACCCTTCCAGCCCCTCCCTGCTCTTGTCCCTCAGAGGGAAAAGAAGAAATAAAAATTCCCACCCCCCCACAATGGGGACCCCCGGGGTCCCACCACTAGGGGGCAGTTGGGCGCATCCCCAGCCACTCACAATGAGGATGGCCACGAAGCAGGCCAGCGTGGTGTTCCAGTCTCCGCTGCCCGTGGCTGCCGCCTTGCCCACCAGCACGCTGTAGAAGATGAAGTCCCCAAGGCCAAGCTTCACGCCCCCTGCACGAGGAGAGACAGTGGACCCGTGCTGAGGAGGCGCCCGCAGACGCTCTGCCCAGCCCAGCCCACCCAGCCTCTAGAAGCAGCCGCGTCGGCTGGGGACAAGGACGGCTGCCTCCCCAAATCCGCAGCCAGTGGGAAAGCAGGGGACGCCTGTGGACTGGGTGACTTACAACCTGTGCACAGAAAATCGGGCAGTTCTGAAACTCAGGTAAAACTGGTGCTGGGCACATAGTGAGTAACGGAAAGAACAAATAGGAATGCATGGCTTGGGGCTCGGCACTGCTGTACAATTTAGTATGAAGTCTGAATTACAGATTTTTAGGGAATTTCATTTCAGTAAATTCAAAAGCACATATAACACCAAGACAGAGGTCCTCTGAAGACCCTTTCCCCTTGCAATAGGTAAACATAACTGGGAATTAGCCTACCCATGACTGATCAGGAAATTAGAGCTTCCAAAATGCTCTCAAGTTTGTTTTCTTTAGTACAATGGTCCCTGACACTGGTTTGTAGGATAACTTTGCTCACTGTAGATAATAAAAATGGTTATGCAATAAACACAAACCATGGAGGCCCACCTCCCCTACCCCTCCAGCCCCAAAGGTGTCCCTCCCACTCCTGGCAGTCGCCTGCCTCTGCCCTGCCCCAGTGTCCATCCTTCCCCCAACAAGTCTCATCCATCAGCATCACTTCCTCTCTGATCTCAACTCCTCCCCTTTAGCTGGCTCCTTCTCAGAGCCTAACAAAAAGGATCCAGTCTTGCCCATCCCAGACAGACGGCTCTTCCTGTACTGGGCCCTTGCTCCTGCTGTTGTGTGCTGGCTCCTCTCCCTTATCACTCCTCCTTCTTCCATCAGGACTCTGAAAAGAACCCTGCACTCACCTCCTGGTCACCTTGGGAACTTAGAGGCACCAGGTCCCATGTCCTGACCAATGCTCTCTGGCCCCCAGGGGACACCTGCAGTCCTCATGCCACCCATAGCACCCATCCGCCTCTGACTACTCCTCAGGGTCCTCCACCACACCTTCCCTTCCTCTGTAAATGTCACCGACCCTGACCCTGCACCGTCCCTGGCTACTATTCTCGGGCCTGATTTTGACAATATATTCGTGCTAATGGCTCCAACTCCCAGTGTCAAACCCTGAGCTCTTCCCTGGCTCCAGTGCCTGCTGACATGTCCCTCCGGATGTCCTGCAACCCCTACCCCTCTCCCACAGATGCTCTCCTGAGTCTTGATAAGCCACGCCACCTTCCCCGTGGACCCCTACACACCACCCTTGGCCTAGTCCTGACAGCCATCCCCCTCTCAGCCACAGTGTTGCCTTGTTTCTCTCTCCCCTGGACAACAGCAGGGGTGACATGCCCTGTTCCCAGGAGAGGACACAGGAAACAGGTGTGGGGCCCTCTCACTTGCTCTGTGTCTCTCCATTTGGTCCTGAGTTGCATCTATTATAATAAAACTAATTTTCGCCAGGTGCTGTGGCTCAGACCTATAATCCCAGTACTTTGGGAGGCCAAGGCAGGTGGATCGCTTGAGCCCAAGAGTTCAAGACCAGCCTGGGCGACAAGTCAAAACCTTATCTCTACTAAAAATATAAAAATGAATTAGGTATGGTAGCATGTGCCTGTAATCCCAGCTACTCAGGAGGCCAAGGTGGGAGGATCACTTGACCCCAGCAAGTCAAGGTTGCAGTGAGCCACGATCACACCACTGCATTCCAGCCTGGGCGACAGAGCGAGACGCTGTCTCCAAAACAAAACAACAACAACAAAAAAAACTGCGATTTTAAGTGTAGTGCTTTCCTGAGTGAGACATTCCAGCAAGTTATTGACCCAGAGGGTGTCATGGGAGCTGTAAATTTGCAGCCAGTCAGAAGTACAAGTGGCCTCTAATACCCCTAGAGCTTGTGGCTGGTGTCTAGAGGGAAGCCAGTCCTGTGGGTCCCGTGGGGTCTGTGCTAACTCCTGGTCTGCAGTACACCTGTTGGCCTTGGAATAAACACCTCCCCCAAGCTTGCCTGCAGGGTGCGCACCTTGCTCCTCTTTCCAGACCTACAGCAGGATGATCATTCTCCAGCTAGCCCCTCCTGCGTCACTGAAGTCCTGTATGCCAGGCCACTGCCACCGGGCTACTCTTGTAAGGCACCTCTCAAGCCAGGGGCTGTTACTACACTGCAGGGGCTGTTGTCTCCCTGCTCCAGGGTGCTGCCTGGCACACTGTGGTGGGCTGGCATTGGGTACTGGGTGGGCATCGTGTATTGACGCCAAGATGAACCCCTATCTCAGCATGTCTCCTGGCCTGTCTGCGAGGCTCTCCCACGTCTGCTCTCTGTATCCCGCCCCGGTTTCCTCTGACTCCCGAGACCGCCTGTCCAGAAATGCTCCCCACCCCATGCTCCTCTCCTCTAGTGACTGCTGTGACTCAACCTTCAGAGCTCAGCTCAGCAGTTACCTCCTCAGATGACTTTCTTTGACCCCTGTCAACCAGGTCAAGAAGCTCCGTGGCATACTCTCTTGCCCTCCATGGCCCCCTTCGCAGTCCTTGGCTTCTGGAGTCTGTGTGATTAGTGCCCATGACTCCTTAGCCTGCAGGTCCCACCAGGGCCGGGCCTCACTCAGCACAGTGCAGACACATGGTCCATACTCAGTACACACCAGACAACTACATGGAAGACCCCAGCGCTGCAGGCATCTCCTACTTTCACAGAGATGCCTCTGATGGGAAAAGGGCCCCCTGCAATGCCCTCCTCCACCCCCACCCTGGGCTGAAGCAGGTCATGTGAACACGGGCACCTTACTTTCCTCCTCTTCCTCCAGCTCCTCCCCTGGGTATCCAGTCAGGGGAGGCTCAAAGACTTCAGGGTATGAAGGCTCGCCAAAACTGTCATAGGAGTCTTCTTCTGGGTGTCCAGGAAAAGATGAGATGATCGCCATGAGAAGGGGACAACAAGGGAGAGAGGCAAGAGCTGGTCAGAGAGCGTTCCCTGGGAACAAAGCTCCAGGAAGGGGTCCCCCATCCAGCCATGCCCAGAAGGAAGCAACAAAGGCTGGCAGAGGACCCAGGGTCCAACAGTTGCTGAATCTCCAAGCTGCGTGTGTCAGGGAGAGCAGGTTTTCAAATGACCCTTCCCTCTGCCTCCCAGAGAGGCCAGGCTGGGCAGAGCGGGGTGCAGGTAGGCAGCTGCCCCGCCCCAGTGACGAGAGGCTGTCAGTCCCCCAAATACTCACCCATCTCTGGGTCGTAGGGGAGCTGGAGGGCACCCTGAGAGGAGGGGTCCAGCTTCGCCATGCCCACTGTCCACACCATGGCGGCTGGAGGAGGAGAAAAGGTTCGTGCCTCAGGCAGTGCTAACAGTGGCTGCCTGCAGGGCCTGGGGGAGGTGGCCAGTCTGCGCCCCAGAAAGCCTGCACAGGACCCTCCATCCCACCATCCTGCAGCTATCTGCTCATGCTCCACTGTTAGGAGGCCGTTGTGGGAGGGGTCAGAGTCACTTCCTCTTGACTCCTGCATTTGTCTGTCACTGTCTGTCTCCCCTCCTGCAGTGTGAGAAGAACCAGGTCTATCAGAGCCAGGACCTCACTGTTGACGGGTGAATCCCCAGAGCCTTGGGACACTCACGACTGTCCTGGCATTGCCTTTCCATACATGGTCTCTGCTCATCCTCGGAATGTGCCTGGAATGTGCTTTCCCGTGGGGCCATGCTGCGGGCGATTCTCCTCTACAGGCTGGATTCCTCAACTGCACGGAGATATCTAGCACTCTGTAGCTGGTCCATAAAATGTTTCCCAGGCCACCCTGCAGACACCAGAGCCCCAGAAATTCAAGCTCTCTACTTAAGCCCTGCCATCAACAGACCAAGGGCATCATGACCACAGGCCTGAGAGCTCCATAAGGCCTGGGATCCTGTGGTCTTTCCTGCTGGGTCCCCAATGCCTAGCACAGTGCCTGCCACAAAGTGGGGACTTGATGTGCCTCTGCTGAGTGCATGTGTAAATCCAAATCTCTACACACTGATCCCGAGGCCAGGGGCCATCCCATGTGCCTTCCCTTCAGTTAGGATTAATTAATGCCAATCAAGCACACTGCTGTCAAGGAAGCCCAGGAGCTCCTTGCTCCCTGACCCTCTGCCCTGTAGAATCCCAATCCAAAGTCCCTTCTCAAGAGCCTGGAGAGTTGAAGGGTGGCTGTGGGCTCACAGGAACGTGACCTGCACCACAGTATGCCGCTGGAGGGCGGATGGGATGAAGCCGGGGGCTGCGCCGCATCCCAGCAGATGCCCGCTTTCTGTCCTAACTCTAAGCTTCTTACTGTATAATAGCAAGATACTGCCTTTCCTGGTTTCTGAAAGTGGAGACCCTTCTGGGATCACCAAGGCCAACTCCTCTTTGCTCAGGGAAAGGGTGTTACATAGTCAACTCTGAAAGCCACGGCCAGGAAGCAGCCCCTTGTCCCCCCATAGGCTGCCTGCTGACCTTGGGTCAGGCAGAGGCACAGGGGGCCCACTCACATGAGTATATCAGGGCAGGGAATATGGGCTCGTTTCTCTCCTGGGCAGTTTCTACCAGCATTCTCAGAGGCCCTTTGGGACACAGCACAGCCACAAGATCTAGGAACACAGAGACATCCTTGTCAAGTTATCCCCAAGCAGCCGCCCCCAAAGAGCCAGCCCTGTAGCACAGCAGCCCTGGGTGCAGCTCTCAGAGCATGCCTTGCTGCTGGGCTGCCATGCCAAACTCTCACTTTCCAGTCACAACTTAGGGCAGACACTGGTGGAGTCAGAGCGGGACCTCACAGCCAACTGCAGGTGCGGAGGAGCTGTGCACCCAAGACATGGTGGCCGGGCTGAGGAGTCCCACTTCTCCGAGCCTCAAATTCCTTAACCTTAAAATGGAAGTAACAATACCAGCAATGATAATCATGCTAATATCAAATAGCAGCTAACATTTGGGCTTATGTATAGGCACTGTGCCCAAAGGACTTACAACTGTCTTGAGGAACACGGCACCTACAGCACGTCCAGTGCTTAGCGGTGCACATGCTCAATCAGCACGTCAGTAATAATGGAAAACGAGGGCTGGACGCAGTGGCTCACGCCTATCATCCCAGCACTTTGGGAGGCCACGGCAGGCATATCACGAGGTCAGGAGTTTGAGACCAGCCTGGCCAACATGGTGAAACCCCATCTCTACTAAAAATACAAAAATTAGCCAGGCGCGGTGGTGCATGCCTATAGTCCCAGCTACTCAGGAGATTGAGGCAGGAGAATCACTTGAACCCCGGAGGCGGAGGATGCAGTCAGCTGAGATCACGCCACTGCACTTCAGCCTGGGTGACAGTGTGAAACTCCATCTCACACTGTGAGAAAAAAAGAAAATGACGAGGTCAGTGACTACCGGGAGTGTTCCTGAAATAGTGGATCCTGCTATGTTTTACAAAGGTGACTCCCTCAGGAGGGAGACCACCCAGGCCTCTGCAGGAAGGGACGCAAGCCCATCAGCACCTTGTCCTCCCTGTGCAGTGCTGAGGATGACCTGGCCCTGGACGCCAGCCCCACTGCCCCTGCCAGTCTTGCTGCCCACCTACCATACACAGAGATGGCGCCCAAGATGACCCACGCGGACCACTCTGGGAGGTACTTGATGAACACCAAGGCCATGAGTGCGCTGATCATGATGAGGTAGGCCTGCTGCAACACCAGTGGCCCCTTCCAGTGGATGCACACCATGCCCACCGCCCCAAAGTTCCAGACCGTCAGCAAGAGGGTGGGGTAGTCCATGGCAACGTTGTAGGTCTTAAGCACTTCCCTGCAAGACCAAGGTGGAGCCTGTGGGTGGGACTCAGTGGAGACATTACAGCCTAGCAGTTTACCACCATCCAGTCCCAACCTGGCCCTCTTTACTAACATTTCCTTCTCCAACTGTCACTGTCCTTACAAATTACCATTTGTGACATTTTCTAGAACAAGGTGGGGATGCTCGGAACGGGTCACAGAAATGTGCATGGGCATGACGTGGAAGACCCTGTGCGCATGGAAAGGTCCTTGAGAAAGTGTTTTCTCTTGTCCCTCCAGTCTCTTTCGGTCCCTGGGTCAGGCTGATATCCCAAGTCAAGGGGCAATAGAACAGATACCTTTTCCCATAAACCAGGAAGCACCCAGGCCTAGCCTAAACATTACAATGTAAATTTTCTCTACGAAGGCTCCATTTTAAATCAGGAACTAGATAGAAATGTGTGGTCCACCATGCAGCCTCACTCCCACTCCCCTGTGCCAAGAAAGGGCCCTAGAGGCCTGTGTTCCTGGAACGGCTGGCACTGGGGAGCACTGGAGCTCAACGGTCACCTTTTCCTGCCCAGGTCCTCTTGCCCATGTCCACTGGTGCCGCAGGGAGAGGGGCTCCCAGGGACCCTGCTGCTCATCTGACACTTACCCAAGGTAGATATAGGTGAAGAGGAACAGCAGCATCAGGGAAGACATGATCAACCAGCCATGGATGAACTAGACAATAGAAATGGGACAATCACAAGATGTCCCCAAGTGCCACAAATCCTAAGGCCCCCAGGATGCTGGGACCGATACCCAAGCCTGAATGATGTTCTCTATTAGGCTACTTCATGCCTATGCTGGAAGGGATCAGGTGGCCACCTTACAGATAAAGAGCGCACAGAAGTCCAAGGAGTTCCCCTGAGGTCACCCTGCAGTGCATGCAGACAAGACTCCCTCAGATCTGCTGGCAAAGCCTTGCGGTCTCCCCACCTCTCTACTTGTCCATTTAGAAAGGTAATGCTGGGTATCTCCTACTTGCCAGGCACTGTTCTAGGCTCTGGAGCCAAGGCTAGGAAAGTCTCTGCCCACAAGCGTTGTGTTCCAGTGTGAGGGGAGCTAGATGACATACAGACAAATCTATAGTATTTCAGCAGGTAATGATGAGGGCCATGGAGAAAAACATGCCAGCAAGATACAGTGACAGGAGATTCAACAGGGTGGCCTCAACAGAGAAACTGGGAAGTCCCTTCCCACCCAAGGGTCTACAGACACGTCCTCAGAAAGACCTGTTCCTCTTCTCCTGGCCAAGCACGGGAGGGTGAAGGACAAGAGGGGACTGATCCTAACCCAGTCCCTTAGCTGGCCATTGGTGGGACAGTGACATCACTTCCCACCAGCCTCACCCCTGAGGATCAACTCATCAGTCACCAGCTCAGCCCACTGGGACCTCAGCAGGGCCCTGGTCTACCTGGAGTGAAAGCGGCCACCATGGCCATGCCGCACACACAGCCAAAAGGGGAAAGGGCTGCCTCTGGGATGTGCCAATCCACTTCATCCCAGCTACCACCTGGCTTCCCAGGCCACCATCATCTGCCTGTGTTGCAGAAACTCCAGGGAAGCCCTACTGGAGCCCCTCTTCACAGCTTCTGGGACTGGCCACCAGACACCTACTGCTTGCAGTGGTGCCAGCTCTTCACATCCGCTGTGAAATATCTAGCTGGACCCCATGCAAGCTGTATCCTCTGCTCCAAACCAGCAGCCCTCCAACCTGCTTCCCCATCTGCCAACCTACCAGTGGCAATGTTCGAACCCTGCCTCATCACAGTTACACAGGTGATTGTTACTTATTTTATTATTATTTTTTAAGAGACAGAGTCTCAGTCTCCTAAGTAGTTGGGACCACAGGCGTGGTCATGCCCAAAATGCCGAGCTGGTACTTGTTACTTAATGATAAGCTTCAGCTCAGGACACACCCTACAGGCCCTCCCATGACTCTCCCCGACTGCCACCCCAGCTGGAATGGGGCTCAGCTCCCTCCCTGCACTGTCCCTGACCCATCCCTCTAGCCTGGGCACTCTGCACCTCTATCTAATTGCTCCACAGATGGCAGCTGCCTGAACAAAAATGTTGTGAGGCACCTGTGTGTCAACAGTTTTAAGATAGGTAACGCCCAGCTTAACTTCCTTTCCATCTTTAGGGGTTCAACTCCTTCCCTGGGGGAAAAGCCTGAAGTTGCTGTCTAAAAGCTTATGCATCTTTGGGGACAAGCAGCGGCCATGATTCTTGCCAGATGGGATCTGTCCTTCTACTACTCCCTGGAGCTACTCGGCAGCTATATAGGCAGGTACAACCCACATGTCTCCCAGGGCTGGAAGACCTCAGCATGGCATCTGCACATCCTTGCCCAAAAAGGAAAAGGGAACATAAAAATAAATCTTCAGGGGAAGTATCAGGGTGAGGGGAGCCTAAAATAGAACTTCAGAAAGAGAAACAAAACAAAATTAACTTCTGACTATGAGAAATGATGCCTGTAACACTGCAGTGAGGAACTCAGTGGGATCGTGTGTAAATTTAAATGACAACAGGCTGGGTGCGATGGCTCACTTGTGTAATCTCAGAACTCTGGGAGGCCGAGGTGGGAAGATGGCTTGAGTCCAGGAGTTTGAGACCATCCTAGGCAATACTGTGAGATCTAGCCTCTACAAACAAAATTTAAAAATTAGCCAGGTGTGTTGGTGCACACCTGCAGTCCTAGCTACTTGAGAGGCTAGGCAGGAGAACTTCTTGAGTCCAAGAGGTTGAGGCTGCAGTGAGCCATCATCGTCCCACTGCACTCCAGCCGGGCAACAGAGAGAGACCATGTTTTTTAGAAAATAAAATAAATAAAAATAAAAGACAACAGTATTAGGTCATCCATGGTGGGAGACAGGATGGGGTGGGACGGAGTACAAAAAATCAGGGTCTATTTTGCTCTGGTCTGTGTTTTTTAAAGATGGCTGTTTCATGGGCCTCACCGCCGTGGTGTGGGGTAGATGGGGAGGGAGAAGGGTGGGTGGAGGGCAGGGCCAGGGCCTCACCTTGTAACAGCGGTACTTGTAGAGCACCACCAAGAAGATGGTCATGACCACGATGACACTAATCATGATGAGGGTGTTGAGCACGGAGTTGAGGAGGCGCTGGCCCACCGAGGGCGTGTCCTCAGTGAACGGCGTGTAGATGCTGAGGGAGAAGGCAAGGGGCTGATGCTCCCAGCCCTGCCTGCTCCGCGAGGCTCCCCACCTTGAGCGATTCTGGGCCTGCTAGGGGAGGTGCCTGGGATGCCCATGCCACCCATGTACTGCCCTGACAGAGCACAGGCACCACCCCTATGAGCAGTTTCTGTCCTCCAGCTCATTCCCTGGCATCCTGACCACAGACCTGTGGCTCTCAGCCTGCTGACTGGGCCCAGTGCAACAGTGGGGATGGGGGCTAGACGACCTCACCACTGCCCTCCCCACCCCTACACGGATGGATTAAAGGCTCCCTAGGCGCTTGTCTCGCCCATCTCACTTCTCATTCCCCACCTCACACCTCTCCACCAGCCCCATCCAGCCTAGCACTCCTCCACCTGCTGCTACCCCACCCCCCACCAACAGGAGCCAACGGCTGCCCTTGCAGCTTATAAGCCCAGGAAGCAGAGCAAGGAAGCAATTCACTCAAACCTCACTCTCCCCAGCCTGGACTGTGGCAAACAAACTGCTGGCTGCATTCTCTCCATGCTTTCACCTGTGCTGCACTGAATTCCCCATAGGCTATAAGCTTCCTGAGGATGGGGCCCTCCTTCTCTACGTCTTTTTTAATTTAAAAAAAAAAAATTGAGACAGGGTCTCTGTTGCTGAGGCTGGAGTGCAGTGATGCAATCATGGCTCACTGCAGCCTCAACTTCTGGGCTCAGGTGTTCCTCCCACCTCAGCCTCCCAAGTAGCTGAGACTACAGGTGCATACCACCACACCTGGCTAATTTTTGTATTTTCTGTAGAGATAAGGTCTCGCCACATTTCCCAGGCTGGTCTCAAACTCCTGGGCTCAAGTGATCCTCTTGCCTCAGCCTCTCAAAGTGCTGGGATTACAGGCATGAGACACCACACCTGGCCTTATTCCTTTCTTTAAAAGAAACAAAAAACCAAACCAACACACAAAAAATGAAACAAAAAGTCCCTAACTTAAAAAAAAAGTTTAGAGAAGGTGCTTAGCAGTGATGACCACAGGGAGGGGAAGGGAAGACGTGGGGAAGCTTCTCATTTGTCTATGCTGCTGCCTATGCATGTATTTTACTAAAATAAACCAAAGGCTTTACAAGTCTTCCTCACAAGGCAGGAAGTGAGCTGAGAAATCATCTGGTCGAACCACCTTGTTTCATATTCAGGGGAGCAGAGACCCAGAGAGGAAGTGATTTGTTTGCGGTCACACAGGACAGTGGCACGGCCATGCCCAGGGTCTGGGACTAGGAACACGGAGCCCAGTGCTTTGCAGCAGGATTCAGCCTGCCTGAGCACTCACCTGCAGCACACACTCTTCTAAGCCCTTCACTTGTATTAACTCACTTAATTCTCCCAGTAACCCCATTATTAACCCATTACACAGGCATAGGGACATTAACAGCATGCCCAAGTAGGTCACAATCCAGGAGGCAGTGAGTCAGGCCGTGAACCCAGGCAGCTCTCCCTCCCTGCTCTTTACCACTGCCGGTGTGGAGCTACAGGTGCAGTGACCAACACAGGCTGCTGCCTCCCAACAACTCAGCCCTCACCCCATCCTGTGCCCCCCGGCCCCTAACTCACAGCTGTCCATTCTTCTCCGTGTAGAAGCGCACAGACTTGATGGTGGCTACCACCACGATCATGCACAGAGTGACAGGCACAAAGAGCATGATCACGTGCTTCGCCCCATACTTGAGAGTCAGCTCTTCCTCCAGGCCTGACGGCCGCCCAGGAACTCCACTACAGACGTAGCGGTCAGGGTCCTCCTCACCGTCCTCCTCGTTCTCCTGGCTTCTCTGCGGGAAACCACATCGTGAGGGCCGAGGAATGTCCCCTACGGCAGACTATCCATGTAGTGCATGGATTTTTGGAACCGGAAATGAGAAGTTTGAATGTTGCTTTCCAAATACAAAGAGCAGCTGTAGCTTAGATGTGGGCGTGTTGGAATTTCTAGGGCATGTGAAAAGTTTATAAGGACAAGAGTGGAAAAAATTTAGAGCTGGATGAAGCATCATAAATGAAGGAAGGGAGCCTGCCATCGTCTGCAGGCCCAAGACTTAATGGATAATGAATTTGGAACACATCAAAGGAACTTCCCCCTTCCTAATATAGGGACTCAGGATGTCACTCAATTCCATTCACATGGCCATGCTGATGTGGGAGGAGACAGGCCAGGAGACAGAAGGAAAACAGACACTAACCATTTCTGGTTGACCAATCACTAGCTAGAGGAGTCAGTGCACAGGGACACTCTCCGAGTGTGACTAAGATACTGGGAATTTGTAGAGGAAGAAATTACCTTGAACTTTCTGCCCCACACAATCAAGCATGTAAATTTGCAGCTCTGAACTAGAGGCTGAACAGCGTTAAGCATCTGGGAAGACATAGGCTCTGAGAAGGTGGACGGGCACAAATGAGGAGGTAGCAAGGGAAGGCAGGACACCTGCCAGACACCGGCACATCCCATCTGGAAGAATTTGTGTTTTGGAACTGTGGCAAGTCAGGGTCATGGGCTGCCTTGCTAATGAGATCAACAGCTAAAGGAAAAGGCAAATGAAACAAAAACTGAAAATGGCAGTTGCTTCAGTTGTTTTACTCTGATTGGGAAAGAAAGGGCATGACTTTGCAGAGAGAGTCCCAATCTAGACATCAGCTGAGAAAGGAAAGGAAGACTATTCATGAACAGAAACTGAAACAACTAAAATGTACAAGAGTTTCCAGAGATAACAAACTAACAAGAAAAGGCTGACGAGCGGCCAAGCAGTGGCCTTGAGCTGGTGCCATTTCACTCAGAGCTCAGGGACGATGGTTCTGTTCTCAAGGAGAACATGCAGAAGAAGGGAGCTCAAATTTTAGCAAGCAGGATTAAGACTGGCAGCAAGAAAACAGTCCACACAGAGACTTCTTTTTTTTTTTGAGACATAGTCTCGCTCTGTGGCCCAGGCTAGAGTACAGTGGCATAATCTCGGCTCACTGCAACCTCCACCTCCCGGGTTCAGGCGATTCTCCTGCCTCACCCTCCTGAGTAGCTGGGACTACAAGCACATACCACCAGGTCTGGCTAATGTTTTTTTTGTATTTGTAGTAGAGACGGAGTTTCACCATGTTAGCCAGGATGGTCTTGATCTCTGGACCTCTTGATCCACCCACCTTGGCCTCCCAGAGTGCTGGGGTTACAGGTGTGAGTCACCATGCCCAGCCAACATTTTTAAATTCTATAACGGGCAAAACAGAGAATAGGATTCAGGTAAATTGGGATGTTTTACCCTGATTGGGAGAGAAAGGGCATGACTAAGTGGCTCTCCCAAGGATATCCTACTCTTTCTAACATCCTGCTCTTTCTCCTCCCCTAGGGGCTGGATGATCACAGTGCAGCCTAAATATCCCCAGCTCAAAAGTCAAGTGTGCGTCAGGCAGACTCCTCACAGTTACCATGTCTGGCCACCTGCCAAAAACGGCTTCCCCTCCAGTGGCTTCCCCTGCTACCATCCTAAGCTTCTGTTACCTGTCCTAGCACCCAGGCATCCAAACGAACTCTGGAATTACAGTGGAAACAGTGACCTGCATGAGCAAGGTAAACCTAAGGGGGCAGAGTGGACGGCGTCCTTCAGCCCACTGCCAAGTCCACTGGCTGTGAATGTGCAGAGTCCTATAAAGCCCTGCAGACAGAAGGCCGACCATGGCCAGCCACCCACTCTTTTGGCCGCTCCTCATCATTACTTCCCTCTCCCTCTTGCATCGAGGAATGAAGGTCTGGTTTTCACCTGTAAAGGTACAAGAGCCCCAGAGACCCCCAGCTGCTGATGCCTACCCACTGGGCAGTGTTCTCTCCATCCTCCTGGCCCTGCCTGCCCTCCTGGCAGGAATGCGGTGTGGGGCTCTCGGCCGACATCAGGGACGTCCGCTCGTCACACATTTCTTCCTCGCTGTCAGAAGCCATGAATGTTAGCATAGCCCTGCCTCGGGAAGCACCTGGAAAAAAGAGCACAAGGACCTCGTTCCACTTTCCTGTGAGATGAAGGCAGTAGAGGGCTACGGGGGTGGCTGGAGGCAGCCTGAAGACTTAGACACAGGTCCTGCCCAACAAGCTTCCAAGACATGCCTGTCAATCAAACGACTGCCGTAAAGCAAGAGGCCCCAAGAGCCACCATGGAGGTGGCAGCGGCCTTGCCTGGGGCCGGCCTGAGGTGACTCACATCTGATCATTTGTTCAATTAGCAAACATGTGTGGCACGTCTATTATGCACCAAAGATGGTGCTGGGCTCTAGGGATATAAACGTGAGTAAGAAACACCCTTGTTTAAAACAAAACAAAACAAAACAAAAATCATCTAATGTAACAAATGATACAATCCAGGTGTTGGATGGTAGGTGCAGAAGCATAAAGGCAAAACCAAATCTAGAGATCAGGAATGTTTTCTAGAGAAGAGCATATCTGATAGAGACAGGTTTTCCCAGGAGAAGGGAAGGGCAGAAGGCACAGTGAATATTCCAGTGAGGGCCACACACTGTGGGCCGGGCGGCGGAGGTGAGCAGGATCTCAGGCACCACGTTAAGGAGACACACAACACCATGAGGACAATCATGACAAACAAGATCTGATACAGGTTTACAAAGGTCAATCTGGCCACTGACCAGGAGGGAAAGTGACCCCCGGAGAAGACTGTGGCCGGTGAGGAGGGCGGAAGATAGCAGCAGGATGGATGCAAATGAGGGCAGAGTCCGGGAGGGGTCAGGAGGTCAGGGGCAGGACCTGACGCAGGAGAGAAAACAGAGTCTAGGACGGCAGCCAGGTGGGGACCAAGACAGGAAAGACTATGAATTCCACCATTTGAGAGTCCATGGGATACAACTGGGAAGCTGACTGGGAGGTGTCTGAGGACCAAGTCTGCTGAGGTTAGAAGTGGAGACCTAAGCCAAGGGAACAGGCATGTGGGGTGGAAAGTGCCACTGAGGGAGGAGCCCAGGGGAAGGCCAAGGCCAAAGGGACCACAGGAGGGACACCTGACCCCTAAGACAGCGCCGAGTGGAGTTTCTACACAGTAGTACCACATCCAGGACCCAGTGCAGTCCAAAATCTACACATGCAGGTTTCGGGGCTGGGAAGAGCTTCAGACAACCCCTGGCAAATCTCACTGTCCCTGCCAACAACGAAGACGGGGACAGGGGCTGAATTACTGCTGTCCAGAGACCCTCAGGGCTGAGCTTCACACCCTGTGCAAAGATAGCAGGTCTGCTCTCTGCTGAAAGTTGGTCTCCAAGTAAGCTGCACCCACAATCTATGTGATTTTTATTTTTGTTTTTAGAGACGAGGTCTCGCTAGTGACTCAGGCTTGAATGCAATGGTACACTCATGGCTCACTGCAGCCTTAAACTCCTGAGCTCAAGCAAGTATCCCACCTCAGCCTCTTTAGTAGCTAGGACTGCAGATGCATGCCACCACACTCAGCTAATTTTTTACATGTTTTGTAGAAACAGAGGTCTCAGTTTGTTGCTCAGGCTGGTCTCAAACTCCTGGCCTCAAGTGATTCTCCTGCCTCAGCCTCACAAAGCACTGAGATTACAGTGTGTGAACAAGTACACCTGGTTATATGTGGTTTTTAAACAAGCAGGCAGGTTCCTTCCACCGAGTCAGCCAGTTTCAATTCCCTTAACAAGACCTGTTAAGGTCTTGTTTCTGAAGACAGCAACCCTGGCTGTGGCCTGGATTATTCCCACAGGGACTTTAACTCCATCCTGCTCACCTCCATTGCAGCGATTTCAACATGAACAAGCTCCCCAGCCTGAAGCACCTTCTGTTTAGGACAGATAAGACAGGTACAGCAGTAACAACAGCAGGAAGCAAAGCCAGGTAAAAGCCAGTAGGGAGGTGACAAGGATAATGCTCCCTCGAGTTAGGAGGGAACAGAGTCTATCAGTTGTTAGGAGTAGATGCCTCAGGTCACAAGAAGTAAGAGGGAGGTGAAGCTGCAAAGGTTAGGAATATTCACCAGGCAGAGACTGGAGGAGGTGGCTCATTCTGGAAAGAGGTAACCACTTAAGCAAACATAAGAGTTGGGAACATAACACAGCCTATCCTGACAATATTGAGCTATTGGACGTGACTGAAGTGTGGGGACCTGGTAGGATGGACCACCCAGGGAGAAGTCTGCTGCCTGACGGAGGAGTAAGAGTTTAATGCAGCAGAGGAGAGCCCCTGAAGGTTTCTGACCAGGAGGAAGATGTAACTAAAGTGAACATTACAAAAGCAGCCTTTATAAAAGAGGTATGGCCCTCCTCCCTCTTCACTCAGCATTCTCCCACACTAGACCCCAGGGCCACAGGGAAGTCCTGGGAACCAGCAAAATCCATACAAATCGAGCACAGCTTCACATCCCCAAAGAGCAGCAAGACCTTGGAAAGTTCTTGGCTTTAGTTCCCTCATCATACAGAAATGAGAGAAACTACCAGAAATGAGAGAAAATTCCGGAGAAGGGCCGTGTGAGGCCAAGGCGGATGGATCGCTTGAGCCGAGAAGTTCAAGACCAGCCTAGGTAACATGGCAAAACCCTATCTGTACAAAAATAAATAAAGGAAATTGAAGAGAAGAAACTTTAAGGTCCTCCTGTGGCTCAGCCTCTCTAGATAAATCCTAAACAGACTCCTGCCCGGACACAGGGTTTCCCTCACTAGCCACTCTGGCAATGGGGAGTTCACTCTTAAGAGGGGCATCAAAACAAAGAGCTGCTACATTTCTTCAAGCTAAAGCATAATACTCCATCTGGAGCAGTGAGCTGGATGGGATACGAGACTATACATCCTATACGGACAGGCGGCTATTTTAATACCATCTTTTCTAGCATGACAGTTTTGTTTTGGATGTGAATGAACAGGGAAGCTACGGTCTCCCTCTGTTCTTCCCATGACTCTCAAGCTCCAGTGACTTATCTCTGCTGCGACTGAAGGAGCAGTTCTGAGAGTCCTCGTGCCTAAAAAGCCAAAGGCTGCAGCCCCTGAGGACAGAGGGCAGGCTCACCCTTCAGACCTACAACAACTGCAGCATTCAGAGGATGTCGCGTTTCTTAGGTTCTCAAATAGCAATGCACAACAAAAATGGGTAAGTAGAGAACAAAGATGCCTGTTTAAAGGAGAAAGGGAGCTGACGGGTGGGTGAAGACGGAGAAGCTAGGGACCCAGGATCAAGTAGAACCAAGTCCTTCCAATATCCACTTCTCCATTCAATTGTCAACCGCTAATAAGACACTCCCTGGGACAGAGCACAGTGGCTCACGCCTGTAATCCCAGCACTTTGGGAGGCCAAGGTGAGTGGATCACCTGAGACCAGGAGTTCAAGACCAGCTTAGCCAATAGGGTGAAATGCCATCTCTAATAAAAATACAAAAATTAGACAGGTGTGGTGGTGCATGCCTGTAATCCCTGCTACCTGGAAGGCTGAGGCAGGAAAATCACTTGAACCCAGGAGGTAGAGGCTGCAGTGAGCTTAGACGGTGCCATTGCATTCCAGCCTGGGTGACAGAGTGAGACTCAGTCTCAAAAAACCAAAATGAAACAAAAAAAGATACTCCCTGGAAAGCAGTTCTGTGAGCAGAGGTTCCCTGACATCTGTCATAGTCACGCTGGGGAGGGTGGGCTTAAAGGGCCGTACCCTTTCCATGTGACACTGTGCTAGGCAGGAGAAAGGCATCTGGTCACCACTGTTGTCATCGCCCACACTCGCTGACCGCCTGCCCTGTGCCAGGACCTGGTCTCATCAAGACCTGACAGCTCTTCAGGGAGAAACAAGGGAAAACTACAAAATATGCTGTTTAACCCACAAAATGTCATTCATACGTACGGCCTCCTTACCAGAAAACAAATGCTCCCTGAGCAGGCTCCTTCCCTTGTTCCACTTTAAAAAATTCCCCCAAGGCCTCCCCTGAAGCTGTGCCCACAACAATGAGGACCAAGACTGCACGAAAGCAGGGAAGGAGGGGGCTGCCCTTAAGGAATAATCAGGGAAGAGCAAGCTGTCACAGCAAGGGTATCCTCTAATCACAACCCTCCTAGTCTGGTTGGGTGAGGGTGACAGGTGGGAGGCACCAACTTAGGAAAGGCTGAATCCCTTAGGATCACTGTTTCTCAAAGGTGGTCCAGGCCACTGGGGGCTGGTGGGTGGACCACCACCTGCTGAGCCCTTACGTGGCACTACACACCATGACTCTGGAGCAAGGCGCTACTATTCTTCCCCGTGGTACAGATGAGGAAACAGAGGCTCAAAAAGTAATTAGCTCAAGGTTACCCCTGGACCTAGGTAGTCTGTGTCTGGGCTCTTTACCACTTGGCTAGGCTGCTTATTGAAAATGCAGATCTCCAAGCTCCATCCTCACCCTGTGTCAGGTATCTGCATTCGGGATGGTCATTCCCCAGGTGATTCTCAGCCAGCATCAGACTTTTCCTGGCACTGCCTCTGCTTTATAATCACACGACCAGGCCGGGCCCCTTGCTCAGCAAGGTGAGTGTCCCTCACACACCCACCTTCAGCCCCCAATGCTTGGCACTACTTGATTGTCGAATGGGAGAGTGAGAGAATGAACAGCTCTTTCTCCTAAATACCTAGAGTCTGGTCAGACAGCAACTAGGAAGGAAGAGGGGTGGAAAAATCTCAGACCAGCAGAGGGGCATGGGGAGAAGAGAGCTCTCAGGCTGAAAAAGGCCCAAACAATGCCCACTGCAGAGGAGTATGTGGAAAAACGGGGTCTCATCACTATCTGCACGAACTGGACTGGCCTTACTGAAAGGAGTAAGAATCAACACTAAACACAGCACACCTTTTGATCCTGAAATGCTACTTCTCTGAATTTGTCCTAAGAAAATATAAAAATTTACACAAACATATGTGTTAACTGTTAAAAAAAAAAAAAAAAAAAGTGAAAATGACCAAAACGTCTGACTCTCTACTATGATATATGCCTCTGAAGGAGACTATTACAGGACCATCAAAAATCTTATTTCAAATATTTAGTAACCTGAAAACGACATGATGTTTTAAATTTAACAGAACATAAAACTTTACAAACCTAATCATCTAAGTGTCCTTATGAAATGTATGTATATAAAGGACTGGGAATACTACAAAACATTAAAAGTGATTATCTTTGGATGGTGGAACCAAGAGTGGTTTTATTTTCTTTATATTTTTCTGCAGTTTTCCAAGTCTCTATAAGAAGCATGGACTGTATCTGTATGGGTTTTTTTAGGCTATTAATTCTTTAAAGGAAAATAAAGAGCATCAACATTCAGACAGATTTTCCTTTACATCTGCCCCTCCCAGATCCCCTCTCATTGGCCAGGAGGAGCAGATGGGACTCAAAGCCCGACTTTTTTTCATTTGTCCCTCAGCCCCTCTGACTCAGCCGGCTCCTGAAGGAACATAGAGCATCTGGGATGACTTTTGCTTCCCTCTGAATTCATAAGGGCCTGCTTTGCAAGCCACCTAAGTCCGCTCTGAAGCCTGCTGGTGCTTTGAAATCCCTGGAGGGAAAATTCACCACCCAAGTGTGTGCAGGTAAACAACACTGCTAGATGTTTGTCCACATCAGGGTGCCAGTGACGCAAAGAACTCTCTCTGGAGGCTGACTCACGGGCAGGTGGGGGTGGGGCTGGGTGATGTCAAATCCCATCAGCCACACAGCAACCAGCTTTCCCCACCTCCCACCCCCTGCACCCCTTTGACTGGGGAAGCGACAGGAAAATGCAGAGGGCAGATGGAAGTGTCCAGTGTACAGACTATGTTCTGGAAAGCCTTCCGAGAAGGAAGTGCTGAGGCTGATAGCAGCTTTGGATTAGGATGCAAAATCAAAAATCCAAGGAAGCCGCTGCATATTCCACTGCATATTCCCATCAATCAGCTGAATGGGATCAAACTGCTGAATTAGCCAAATCAAGGGAGTCTGACCTAGAGAATCTCCCCAGCCGTGCTTGTGTCAGCAGTTCCTGCAATTATTATGGAAACCCAGTGACCCAATTTCCTCGACCTTCTTTTCATTACAGAGAATGTAATGGGTTAACATTTAAGGCCAATGGAACTAGGCAGCAAACAAATTTCAAAATGCCACAGTAAACCCCCACGGAAATCTGCCTCCATGGAGAAAATCCCAATGGAAAAAGATAGTTCAAAAGCAAATTGGGAGTCACTGCACTTACCGAAAACACTGGGGGCTGCAGAAAGGTCTGGATCCCGGACACCTGGTTTCTTCTTCCAAGCAGGCTAAATGAACGATGCTCCCCGACTTTCAAAGAGGGTGGCGCTGGTTTCTAACACATCACTTTCTATGGTCACACAGCTCCCTCATATCACTCTCCTGACGTCTGAGAAGTCCCACAGTCCTCCCTTAAAATAAGGAAGAGTTTGCTCAGGTCAGGTGATAACTGGACAAATGCCCACTGCTTCCCTGCTCACCTTTCTCCCCCTGGCCCTAGGTACTTGACTATGTATTTGGTACCAGCTGACCATCCATTTGTCCATTCATCGTGGCCCATATGGCAACACATACCATTTGGGGATGGTTCTCCCTAGCCTCAGCCAGAGCTGAGGCCTGAGTCTAACAGGGAAACTGTGAAGTACTAACCTACCACCCTCCCGGACCACAAGCCCAGGTGCACTGTGATGGGGCCTCCTGAACTTTGGGCCAAGCTCTAGACTTACCTCTATCAGCCCTATCACACTCAGAAGTGCCTGGGCCCAGGCAGAGTTCTCTCATTTCCTGAAGCAGCCAGGGGAAAGGGTGATTTGTGGGGAAGTGGGAGAGGGAGCCCCTAGCATGCCCCTCTGGAGTAGGGCCCAGAAATTCATTTATTTTTAAACAAACAGCAGCAAGTCAGTGGTCAAAAGCAGAGGCTTTGGAGACTGACAGGGTTCGGATCACCCACCTGTGTGAGTTGGACCACATACTGCCTGGCTGAGAGGCCTCAGTCTAATCTGACACAGCTCATTTCCTCTGCTGTAAAAAGCAGAACGGGCATACCTTGCAAGATTATTGTAAAACCTAGCGACAACCTGTAAAGTGTCTGGCACACAGTAGGCGTTCAATAAGTGGTAGTTATAAAGAGATGAAATGGAGGAAGGACACAGTGAGAGAGGACACGGAAGACTGCTGGAAAATTATGCATCTGCTGAACCACCAGACACAAGAGCTGGCTTCAAAGGCCAGGCCCCAGAGATCAAGTTTCCATCTACCCTGGCCCGGCCCCACACACTACGGCCACGTGAACATACAGTCAAATAAAAGAGCACATCCATAGGACAACATCAGAGTTGGCAAGGACCTTAAAGGCCATCAGTGCCCCCTAGTCAGGTCCCTGTATTATAATTAAGGAAACTAAAGCCTAGGGGGCAAAAGTAATCAGTTAATGTTCCATGGCCAAAAGCCACAGTTACAGCTCAGGTCTCCAACTGCCCATTCAGGAGCTCTTCCCAGCCCATTCAGCACTTGTGAGGGCCACGTACCCAGTGTGCAGGGTTTGGCCATGCAGGCAGCCCCACCACACACCATGTGGACTTTCTGGGAGCACACTCATACTCACAAGGCACGTGCCTTCGCCTTGGGCAGGTATGTGTCCAGAAATGCTCCCTATCACTCACTCAGCAGCTCATCCGTCACCTCAAAACTCTCAACAGTCTCTCTCCTGCCACGCCCCCCAACTCCAGCCCCCAGGGCTCACTATGCTCTCCCTCTGCTACTTGCCCAGGTTGATTTGGTTCCATGGGGGGGAGTGCCCACATATGGGCCTGGGGAGGACACAGGGCACTGTTTCTCTAGCCCAAAAGAGAGGGCGGGAAAGCGTCCTGCTGTGGGACTGGTAGGATAAATAATTCAAATGCTCTATGCACCCATCAAATCTGCTTTTCCAGAAGTACTCAATAAAAGGAAAATTCTGAAGGCATAACAGAAAAAACAGGATACAAAAACTTTACCTGTTTCCTCCCTCTACTATTTTAATAGATAAATATGTGTATGTGAACAGAGCTTGGACGGAAACGCACGTTAAGAGTGGTTATCTCAGCTGGGCACAGTGCTTCACGCCTGTAATCCCAGCACTTCGGAAGGCCGAGGTGGGTGGATCACCTGAGGTCAGGAGTTCAAGGCCAGCTTGGACAACATGGTGAAAACTCATCTCTACTAAAAATACAAAAATTAGCCAGGCGAGGTGGCATGCACCTGCAATCCCTGCTACCCAGGAGGCCAAGGCAGGAGAATCTCTGGAACCTGAGAGGCAGAGGCTGCAGTGAGCCGAGATCACGTCACGGCACTCCAGCCTGGGCAATAAGAGCGAAACTCTGTTTAAAAAAAAAAAAAAAAAATTCCTGAATTTTCTAGAATAAACATGTATTACTTTTATTTTAAAAAGAGACCAATAAGTTTCTGGTTAAGGCATAGAAGAATGGTGGATGCTCTTTGAATTTTTCTTCCCCTGTTCTAGAATTTTCACAAAGATGAACAAGTAGCCCATTCTACCCAGTCAGTGAAGAGGCAACCAAGAAATGATCTCCCTCACTGATATCTGGTCTTTCCTGAGGACTGATGTGAAATCATTCTTTTTTTTTTTGAGACAGAGTTTCACTTTTGTTGCCCAGACTGGAGTGCAGTGGCATGATCTTGGCTCACTACAACCTCTACCTCCTGGGTTCAAGTGATTCTCCTATCTCAGCCTACAGAGTAGCTGGAATTACAGGCATGCATCACCATGCCTGGCTATACTTTGCATTTTTAGTAGAGATGAGGTTTCTCCATGTTGGCTAGGCTGGGCTCGAACTCCTGACCTCCAGTGATCCGCCCACCTCAGCCTCCCAAAGTGCTGGGATTACAGGCATGAGCAACCATGCCCGGCAGGAAATCATTCTCTTCTCCAGACATTAACATGATGGTTATCCCTTCTCCAGGTTTGGAGCCCAGGGAAATGTGTTCCTCTGCAGGCCTCTCAGCCTCACCCCCGCCTTTCCGCAGCTGTGGCAGCTGGGAACAGAACAGCTGGGAATACTTGCAAAAACATTTGCCGTCTTATCAGTCCCCAACTAAACAATGTCCAAAAGTCAAAGGAACAGCTGAAAACCCGCCAGGGATGTTCTCATTAGACACACTGCATGTGACCTACACACACTGCTTTGGTTTCTTTAAAAATTTTCTGTTTGTCAGGAAGTTGCTGACGGAGACTCCATAAAACTTTCCAGCAGAGACATGGGTAGGAGTTGAATGGAGGAAACCTCCTGTGCAAAAACTCAAAAGATAAAGACAATGTAGCCAGCTATGTTCAAATCCTGGTGCATAACGCACTGAAGCCACATACTGGACCAGCTACTTAACTCCCTGAACCTGTTTCCACTTCTGTAAAAGTGTGATAATAATAAACTATTTCAGTGTTATTGAAATTCTTATTGAAATTCTTAAGATAACTGTGATAACTACTGTACAAGATGGCTTTTTATTTTATATGACCAACTCATAAGCGAGATATGTCATTATTAACATCAATAACAGAGAAAGGCCAAAGTGGGCAAGAGGCAAATCCCCTGTGTGGGAGCAGTGAGCAGCCAGGGAGGGGAGACAGGTGTCACACTATGCACCATACCTCCAGGAACCTCAGTAGCCCCTGGCCCTTGCTCCTTCTCCTCACTGCTCTTTCAAATAGACAGGAATAAGTCACTCACTTTCCACACGTGAACATGCTGCACTCAAGACTTGGCACACGGTCACTTCAACACCCAAGGGTATAGAGTTTTCCCCAAAAGCCTGATACAACATCCATGCCAGTTCAAAGCAACACCCCACCACTCAAGCCCTCACCCCAGCCTCTGCCCTGGAACCCAAGGCCCAATCCGGGCGTCCTGCGGGCCTGATGGGAGACTGGGAACACAGCTCTGAGCTGGGGCCAGTCACCGCCTCCCCACAACCAGATTCAGCAGAGGAGAACCAGAGGTTCACATACCTGAAACAGCTTATCCTGAGCCTTTAATTACCACCAAAGATCTTGGCTGAAGGCCTTGGAGGCTCAGGTGTCTGCAGAATTGGCTAAAGAGACATCAGGGGCCTCCTTCCTGGAAGCTGGGGTCAGTCCTAATCAAGTTACTCCGTAGGCAGCCTTAGCAACCCAGACTGTCGCTTCTGACTTAAGTTAGCCTGCAATCGTCTCTACGGGATGCTCTTAGGTTCTCCATCAGTCAATAGGGATGCAGTTACTTCACTCAACACCCTTCATACCTTTCAAAGGGAATACTTAAGCCAATAAACAAGCACATTTCATCTAATTAGCCAAGGGGTGAGGTCTGCTCAGAGGGATGGACAGCAGATCTAGAAGCCAGGACCCTGGGGTCTAAGCCTGGCTCTGCTATATCCTACCTGGGCGACCTTGGGAAAAGTCACTTTAGCTCTGTGGCCTCAGTTTCTTCATCAGTAAAATTCGGGTGGGTACTAGCTTCTGTCACAGGTTCCCTCAGCTCCAAAAGCTTCCTTCTGACTGTCTCCTCACAGCTGCAAATGCCTGATAAAACAGCCGAACACCACTGCTAACACAAACCGGCTCTAGGCCTGGGCCTGTGGCCCTGCCCCTCACGTGCGAGCAGACCCCCCAGCGCGCCTCCTTCCCGGGGAAAGCAGGACGAGGGCCGGGTGCTGGAGGCCGGATGGAGCCGGCACAACGGAGGTCTCAGGCGAGAGACAGAGCAAGAACAAAACGCCCCCGCCTGCTACACGCCTTGAGACCCACGTGCACGGCTCCTTTAAATGCACCGGCCCTTTAACAGCTCGCACCGCGCCCACCCCCAGCTGGGCTCTGCGGCAGGCGGGCGCGGGGAAGTGGGGACGCAGTGAGGCCGGAGGCCTGAGAGCCGCTGCAGCTATCCTTCCACGACCCAGTTCCGGGCCGGCCCAGCCGCAGCCCGCCGGGCACTCTCTTCTCTCCGCCCCCGCGCTGACCGCAGAAGCCAGGAGCGCGGCGCAAGCAGCCCCATAGCTGGGGAAGAGACCGCGGCCGGGGGCGTGCGGAGGGCAGGGCCAGGCCCTAGGGGACAGCCCCATCCCGGGCCCTCGGCGCCGCAGGCGACAGGGTCCCGGCCTGCGCACCCCGGCACCGCCCGCTCACCTGCTCCACCGCCGCGCTCCGGCGGAGTTTACGCCGCTGGCTGAACGCCCGGCCGTCCCAGGCGCCGGCCCAGGCCCCGCCCCGCGCCCGCCCAGGCCCCGCCCCGTGGGCGACGCCACGTTCCCTCGTCCACTGGTGCCCCCCCTGGAGTCCCGGGAGTGCGGGGAGGGTGCCCTTCGCGTCGCGCGGATGACAGGATCAACCCGACGTCGGAACTGGGCAGCGACCTTAGGAGTGGAAGCCGGGCCTGTCATCTTCCCGCGGGCCTGGCAGCAGCGTGGGGCGGTAGGACATATGCTTCGTGGACACTCTTGTAGTTTTAGGTCCACATCCCCTCCTCCTCCCGGTGGTTCTCACATTAAAGGAGCACTAGTGGCCTGATGTGAACTAACACTAGGAGAATTTTCCTGGTCTGTTTCAGAGCGCGCTTCAGAGCCGCCAGGAGCTCTGGATCAAATCGAACAGGGATGAAATTGATGCTTGAGCTGAGAATTGGCCTAGGGGGTTGTGGTTCCAGGATTTGGGGTCTGTGGGGTGAGTTGAGGTTGTCAATAATTTGATGTTAAGTAGTTTTACTTTTTTTTTTTTTTGACTTAAGGTGAAATTCACATAAAAAATTTTTCCATTTTAAAGCGGGCATTTCGATGGCATTTAGTGAATTCACAATGCTTTGCAACCACCACCTCTGACTAATTCCAAAACATTTTCTTCACTCCAAAAGAAAAACCCCATACCCACTGAGAAGTTTCTTCCCAGGTTTCTTCCCAATACCCTCTTCCCCTAGCCCCTGGCAATCACCAGTCTACTGCTGTCCCTGTATTTACTTATTGTAGATGTTTCATGTAATCACAGTGTGTGGACTTTTGTGTCTGGCTTATTTCACTTATAATGTTTTCAAGGTTCATCCTTAGGTGGCATGTAACAGACTTTATTCCTTTTTATGACTGAGTAGTATTCTATTGTGTGTGCATATGTATGTGTGTGCCTGTGTATGTTTGTGTATACCACAGTTTATGGACATTTGGGGTGTTTCCACCTTTTGGCTTTGTGAATAATGCTGCTGTGAACATGCATGTACACGTATTTGCTTGAGAACCTGTTTTTATTTTGGGAGGGTAAGTACACGGGTTGAATTCTTGGATCCCATGGTAATTCAATTTTTTTTTTTTTTTTTTTTGACAGAGTCTTGCTCTGTCGCCCAGGCTGGAGTGCAGTGGCCACAATCTTGACTCACTGCAACCTCTGCCTCCCAGGTTTGAGCAATTCTGTTGCCTCAGCCTCCCAAGTAGCTGGAGTTATAGTTGTGTGCCACCACATCTGGCTAATTTTTTTATTTTTAGTAGAGATTTCACCATGTTGGCCAAGCTGGTCTTGAACTCCTGACCTCAAGTTTTCTGCCTGCCCCGGCCTCCCAAAGTGCTGGGATTACAGGTGTGAGCCACCATGCCCGGCCTTCAATGTTTAACTATTTTAGGAACCACCAAATGGCTTCCATGATGGCTGAACCATTTTATATTCCTACCAGCAATGTACAGGGTTTCAGTGTCTCTGCATCCTCACCAATGCTTGTTATTTTCCATTTTATTGTTATCCTAGTAGGTATGCAGGGGTACCTCATTCAAGTTTTGGTTTACATTTTCCTAATAACTAATGCTGTTGAGCATTCTCCTTTTCATGTGCCTGTTGGCCATCTGTGTATCTTCTTTGGAGAAATGTCTAAATTCCTGTGAATGGGTAGTACTTTTCTCTTTTTTTTTTTGGTATGCCTTCTAGTTTTTTATTGTTGTTAAAAACTGGACACTTCAGCCTGGTGCGGTGGCTCATGCCTGTATCCCAGCACTTTGGGAGACAGAGGTGGGTGGATCATGAGGTCAGGAGATCGAGAACAGACTGGCTAACATGGTAAAACCCTGTCTCTACTAAAAATACAAAAATTAGCCAGGCGTGGTGGTGGGTGCCTATGATCCCAGCTACTTGGGAGGCTGAGGCTGGAGAATCGCTTGAACCCAGGAGGTGGAGGTTGCAGTGAGTTGAGATCATGCCATTGCACTCCAACCTGGGTGACAAGAGCAAATCTCTGTCTCAAAAAACAAACAAACAAATAAAAAAATGCTTTCAACAGATGCTGCCTGGAGAGATGCTTCAGCCTGAGAGGTTGAAGCAAAGACAAGCCTCTGCGCCAGTCCCCCAGCTAACTGCCAGGTAGGTCAAAATGCACAATCACAATTACTTAAGAACAAAGTCCATATTGCTTATCCTGGCACCAGCAAGCTACATGAAGAATGCTTAGTCCTCTCCCTAAATCCTACATGGACAACTGCCCATAAACCGCTGCACTCAGAAATCCCCTCAGACTGTTCTAGGTGAAGTTCTGGGTAATCAGATGGGCCCTGTAACTAAGTTCCGGGTAATCGGATGGAAGGTGAAGAGGAATGTCCTTGTCATTCTGCTTCCTTTCGAGAATATGGAGATGATGGCCAGAGCTCAGGTAGCCATCCTGGGCCATGAAGACCACGAGGATGGTGAGGCCACAAAATGGAAGGAGCTGGGTCCTCAATTGTGGAGCCACTAGCTTGGCGCTGCTTAACTCCTTGCTTGGTTTCATGGAGGAAAAACCACTTTTATCTTGTTTCAGCCATTGTAATTTTGTGATTCACTCACATACAAAACCAAAGCTTAACCAAAGCCTGCTTGACACACACGACCTTTCCAGCCACATTCCTCCTACACTGTATGCCCGGCTATGCTCAGTGCCATGCAGCTCTCTGTGCTTCCGTGTCTTGGCACAGCGTTTACTGCAAGTTATCAGAAGGGTCTTCTTCACTTGGCTCCCTCACTACCCATGAGTGTCTTTTCTCTGTTATTTTTGGAGAAACTTGGGAAGAGGAAAGCATTATTGTTTTCTTACACGTGGGAAAATGGGAAAGAAAGTGGAGGTTTACAAAGACAAAATTGTTTCCCAATGGTGCCTGGTTAATGAGTAACAGAGCCAGGTGTGAAGTCAAGTCCATCTGGCCCAATGCTGTGGCTGGCCCCCTCTGCTCCACTTGGAAGGTCCCATGGCGGTGCGTGGGCTGTGGCCGAGGGATCTTTGATAAATTCATTCCCTTTGTGGTTCTCTTTTGAGGTCATCAGCTGCTTTTCACATGCTGGTTTGTGAGGGATGAGTAAGCGTCTTCCTGGGCCTGGCATTAGTTCAGAAAGGGATGGCCTCTGCTTTGGGTTTTGGTGTTCAGAGTGTGGCGTTTTCTTTTAACACACTCTAGGGACCCAACACTGCTTAGCAGACAGTGGGAGGGAACAGAACCTGTGTGAATGTTAGAACAAGATGGAACCAGGTTTGGAATTTGTTTCTTGCACTTATTGGTTGCATGACCCAGAACAATTTCTTAGCCTTGCTGAACCTCATTTCCCCACCTGTGAAAGGATAGAATGAGATCTCTCAGAGGTTTATAGAGAGAATTAAAGAGACACCAATTAAAATGACAGGAGTATGTATGGCAGGCACTCAACAAATGTTAATCGTCTTCTTTCTTCTACTTCTCTTTTGAGATAGGAGCTTTGTTTGGTTTTGTTTGACATTGCAATGATAGACTATATTATTATTCACAAATTTGGAAGCCTTGCTTAACATGAAAAAAACACAGAAGAGTAGATGAAGCCAAGTGTGGTGAATCATGCCTGTAAGTCCCAGCTGCTTGGGAGTCTGAGGTGGGAGGATCACTTGAGCTTAGGAGTTTGAGTCCAGCCTGGGCAACATAGTGAGACCTCTGTCTCTAACAAAAAGAAGAGTTGACAAGTGCTAGCAAAATCTGACATAAGATTGCTATGGAGGGAGTCTGGAGTAGTTTTTTTGAGCCATGCAGAACTATATTCCATGTCACAATAGTCTCACCAGTAGGGTTCCAGGGCAGGGTCAGTTTGACATGCATGAAACCCAGCCATAGGATAGGAACTAGAGACGCATCCCCAGGGTTTGCCAGTCATGTGTGACACTGGGGACAGAAGAGATGCTTGAAGGACACCTTAAAGCAGCTCTTTCTTTGCTAGAGCTTTTGCCAGTATATCTGGGAGTTAGCCCCACTCATCTGAAAGATTCTGGTCAACTCACCTAATGACACTTACCACCGCATTTTTCCAGCATTTTTTCTGTATGTTGGGATAATTTCATCTTTCTATGGAGGATGTTTGAGTGATTTTGAGACACTCTTAGGATGGGTCTGCTTTTACCATTTCAAAAATTTAAGCCAGCAGTCCTCAACCTTTTTGGCTTCATAACCTCTTTAAAACTAAGTCAGGGCCGGGCGCGGTGGCTCAAGCCTGTAATCCCAGCACTTTGGGAGGCTGAGGCGGGTGGATCACGAGGTCAAGAGATCGAGACCATCCTGGTCAACACGGTGAAACCCCGTCTCTACTAAAAATACAAAACATTAGCTGGGCATGGTGGTGCGTGCCTGTAATCCCAGCTACTCAGGAGGCTAAGGCAGGAGAATTGCCTGAACCCAGGAGGCGGAGGTTGTGGTGAGCCGAGATCGTGCCATTGCACTCCAGCCTGGGTAACAAGAGCGAAACTCTGTCTCAAAAAAAAAAGTCAGGACTCCAAAAGCTTTTCTTTATATGGGTTATGTCTATCAATACTTAACCATATGCTATGGTTTGGATGTGATTTGTCCCTGTGAAAACTCACCTTGAATTGCCATTGTAGTTGTGTTGGGAGGTGGGGCGCATCAGAGGTGATTAGGTAGTTAAGATGGACTTTTTGTGAGACTGGGCTGGTTTTCGCAGGACTGGACTAGTTACCACGATAGTGGGTTTGTTTGTTTGCTTGCTTTTTGAGACGGAGTCTTACTCTGTCACCCAGGCTGGAGTGCAGTGGTGTGATCTTGGCTCACTGCCACCTCCACCTCCCAGGTTCAAGCAGTTCTCCTGCCTCAGCCTCCTAAGTAGCTAGGACTACAGGCACATGCAAACATGCCCAGCTAATTTTTGTATTTTTTAGTAGAGATGGGGTTTCACCATATTGGCCAGGCTGGTCTCGAACTCCTGACCTCCTGATCTACCTGCCTTGGCCTCCCAAAGTGCTGGGATTACACTGTGTGAGCCACCACACCTGACCAATAGCGAGTTGTTACAACCCAAGTCTACTTCTTTTCTTGGTCCCTTTTTTGCCCATGCCTGTTTTTCTTCCGCTTCTCCACTATGTTATGATGCAGCAGAAAGCCCTCACCAGAGGCCAGGCAGATGCGGGCGCCATGCTTCATGGACTTCCCGGCTCCAGAATCATAAGCCAAAGAAACCTCTTTTCTTTATAAATTTCCCAGCCTCTGGTATTCTGTTATAGCAACATTGAATGGACCAAGACACCATATTAAAAAGCAAAACTGAGAAGTTTTTTTAAAATTCACTCACTTAGAATAATGACAGACCCGTTATGTATTAACATATATGACATTCTAATGAAAAATATATTTTGCAAACAAAGTTAGAGGGAAGAATGGCACTGTTTCACATTCATGGTGAGCAGTTATGGCCCTCAATGCTGTCCACATTGTAATACTCCGAGCCTATAAACATGTTACTTTACATGGCAAGAGGGACATTACAGATATGATTAGGGTCAATGATTTTGACATGGGAGATTAGCTTTCACTATCCAGGTGGGCTTAATCTAATTATCAGCTCCTGAAAAATGGAAAACCTTTTCTAACTGGTCATAGAGAGACATGACTACTAAAGAAGGCTCAGAGGGAGATGCACTATTGCTAGCCTTGAAAACTGAGGATGGAGTCAAGAGCTGAGGAATGAACAGGACCTCCAGAAGCCAGAGAAGGCAAGGAAACAGACTGTCCATTAGAGCCTCCAAAAAGGAAGCTCTCTGATATGTTGATGTTAGTTCAGTGAGAACCCGTGTCACACTGCTGACCTATAGAGCTATATGGGAATACATTTGTGTTGTTAAGCCCTATGGTTTGTGGTAATTTTTAATGGCAGCAGTAGAAAAACTAATAAAAGGCCAGGCGCGGTGGCTCACGCCTATAAACCCAGCACTTTGGGAGGCTGAGACGGGTGGATTGCTTATGGTCAGGAGTTCAAGACCAGCCTGGCTAACATGGTGAAACCCCATCTCTACTAAAAATACAAAAATTAGTTGGGCATGGTGGTACACGCCTGCAATCCCAGCTACTCAGGAGGCTGAGGCAGGAGAATCACTTGAACCCAAGAGTCGGAGATTACAGTGAGCTGAGATCACGCCACTGCACTCCAGCCTGGGTGACAGAGTGAGACTCTATCTCAAAAAAAAAAAAAAGGAAAAACTAATACAATAATTTTGCACATCTCTTCAGTGTCTGGCTAAACCAAAGACCGTTGAATTCTCACACCTGCTTCTGAATTCAATCTGTTGTCATATGATGCTTTGGTTGACGTATGTGAAGAAAATTAGACCTTATGTAGATTTGTAGTTGAAAACCATAGGAGTAGCCGGGCGTGGTGGCTCAAGCCTGTAATCCCAGCACTTTGGGAGGCCGAGGCGGGTGGATCACGAGGTCAAGAGATCGAGACCATCCTGGTCAACACGGTGAAACCCCGTCTCTACTAAAAAATACAAAAAATTAGCTGGGCATGGTGGCACGTCCCTGTAATCCCAGCTACTCAGGAGGCTGAGGCAGGAGAATTGCCTGAACCCAGGAGGCGGAGGCTGCGGTGAGCCGAAATCGCGCCATCGCACTCCAGCCTGGGTAACAAGAGCGAAACTCCGTCCCCAAAAAAAAAAAAAAAAAAGAAAACCATAGGAGTATTTTAATGGCTTTTCAGATCATTGTGGATTATTCTTCGATATGATACCAAATTTAACAATTGTAATTTTTTAAAGTTTAGTTGCAATGTAGAACATGAAACCATATAAAGAAACTTTTCATATCTGTTACATTAATACCCATTGGCCTGTCTTGCAATCTGAACAGCTCTTTTACTCATGCATTATTTTTAACATGAGATACTGGTCATTTGGAAAACATTGATTCACTAAGTTATGCAGATCTTCCAACTGTTGACACATTCCATTATACAAGCTAAAAAAATTACATGCATTAATGTCAGTCTTATCCAAAGATACAGAGAAGCTATTAAACTTAAAATGGCAGATACAAGTTTTCCAAAATTGTCATTTTCATTTGAAAGCTCAAATTTTATCATTGGCAACA